GCTAAAACACTGGAAAAGGAAGATCCCCAGCACATGCATTTTATTAAGAGTTTTTTAGCTTGCTTTGTAATATAAGTGCTATTATTGCATCACTTCAGACAGCCACAATGAGATAATTTTTAAAAGAACAACAACAGCAGAACACAGGAAGAGTTAAAGGCAGCAGTAGAGCCAGCACATATTAAAAGCCTTAAAATGTAAAACCTCTTCTATCTGGTGCCTGAAATATGCTGCCTTCCTTCCAGTCACTTCATAGCATACCTGGCTGTCCTTCACCCCACTGTATCCTCACAACAGCCTTTGATGTAGGTCAGCCTGACAGAGTGTAACTGGCCCAGTGGGTATCTGAACCAAGGTCTCCTCATTCCTAATTGCTTACTCCGATCAGTATACCATGAAGACACCTCTGTGAGGTGACGGAGTTGCTCCAAACTAGTTAGTCCAACACTAGGTGAACAGCCTCTTTATCTCAGAAGGTAGAAGATCCCAAAACTCCCTCCCCCGCCAGCTCCAATTCCCAGCATCTTTAGGTAGGCCTTAGAAAGTATCCTATCTGAGCCCTGGAAAGATGTAGCTAACTAGGATAGATAACACTGAACTAGGAGGACCATTGGTCTGACTCTGTATACGGCAGCTTTCTGTCTGAATATGCAGGCAGGAGAAGGCTGTCCCAGATCAGTGACTGCTTCAAAGGGCAGAATTAGCACTTCACATTTGACTAAGAAATGGATTGACAGTAGACATTGCTTTCTTAGATATCTAGTAAGGTACAGTCTGTAGACTATATTCTGAAAGTGGGTTAATGCTGTAACTGAAATTAAGTCCCATATTCTGCACATGCTCAGAGGCAAACGTGTCATTCTTGCAACTCTTAGTCATTTTGAAACAAGCCATAGGCCCCGGAGGTGATCACCCAAGAGCCTGTTTGCCCTGTGCTGAGGCTGGCTGCAGCAGTCTTTCTACAGGCAGAGACTCTGTGGCATTTGTTTGCATGCCAAGCTGGGATGTTCAGTTGTACTAGAATGCCCCTTTCTGCAGGAATAAAAGATTCCTTCTTTTATTAGGTCAAACAAAAATTAGTCTGGGCACTTTCTGACACAGCAGCAGTTCAAGCTAGATTACTTTTTGTAGGATTGCTTTTGAAAAGTTTTTGGGAGCTATGGCTGATAGAGAATCTGGAAGGCAGATTCTGGTATATAATTTTCAGAATGTATCACGCTCGACTTAATGTCAATTGTGCTAACTGTTGATTCTTTTCAGGGCCCCAGTTCAAAGTGCCAGTGCTTCTTTATAAAGCTTTAACTAGCTTGACGCTGAAAGGCTGCCTCCTTCTGTAGGAACTTTGTAGTGGGCTAGTTTTAGAAGAGATAGCTATCTTAGTCTGTGCGAGCATATCAGGCAAAATCCAAAGAAACAAGACAAGACAAAAATGCGTGGCACCTTAAAGACTATTATATTTTAATGTGAGCAGTAGATTTAGAAAGCCCCGTTAGCAGCATAGGTTTGTTTGGTGGAAGCATGCGATAAGGTCTTTTCTTTGGCAGCACGGAGAGTTGAAGGGGGTAGAATTAGCCCCTTTCCTCCTGCAGTCAGTAATAGCATTATTTCAAATGCAATAAGGCCTATGTGAACTTAACTACATATGATGTAGTCTTTCATTACTTTGGGTTGAAAGTGCATATGAACTTTCAGGTGAGAAATTAACCTGCATTTAGAGCTTTAGGCGTGGTCCCATGTTGAAATAATTTACTTATCAAGAAATCTGTAAATGCACACTCCTACTACTTTCTACTTGCACAGCAGGTAAAAAGAGGTTAGTGAGGAAGAGAAAGTGAAGAAGAAAAATGTTCAGCTCATACTTGTTGTCTGTGGTGGCCTTTGAAGTTTATCCTAATCTATTTTCCATCCTCACTAGTGTGTAATCCCTCTCCCCTTCCTAGGGGGAGATGGTGGGGACTGCGTAGTACTTTGAACAAACCAGGCCAGAGAGCAAAAGGGTCAAGGTGATGTTTTTAGGCCAGTAACATCTCCTACTGGAACATTTCTTACAGAGAACTGTTGGCATGTGCAGTACAAAGGACCTGACATCATTACCCATACTCTGATACATAAGCATGGATCGTCAATGATTTTCCCATGTTGTCTCTCCTATAATTGTAGCTGGTGTTGCTATAGCTCATTTGACAATAAAAGACCATTATATCATTAAAATACTGCAAAAGCTGCTCTCAAAATTCACCACATTTTATCCAATGTTTAGATGTACTGTATTTGAGATGCAGGTTTTTGTTTGTATTTGTCTATTAAAATAGTAAAAAAGGAAAGATTAAATGATTTACCACATGTTCAGAAACAATTCATACACAGAAGCACAGGATATTGCCTTATCCTTAATCAGACTATATAGTCCAGTGTTGTCAGTTCTGGTCTTTTGTGTGCAGTGATCCCTCGTCCTTGTGGCTGGGTAGAGTTCATTGACCTTTTGCAGGCTGTATTTTTCAGTGCTGGGAGCCAGGCTTTGTTGAATTTTAGACTTTCTTCTTTTTGTTGAAGCTCTGCTGGTGTTTGTGGATTTCAATGGCTTCCCTGTGCAGTCTAACATAATAATTGCTGGTGTTGTCCAGTACTTCTGTGTTTTGAAATAGAATTTCATATCCAGCTTGTTTTAGGGCATGTTCAGCTACTGCCAATTTTTCCGGTTGTCATGGGGTCATGGGCCACATGGGGAAACTTTTGAAAAAACACAACCTACAAACAGTATTCAGGCCCACCACAAAAATACAACAAATATTACAGTCTGCAAAGTACCACTGCAGGAGGGTACCAGATACCTTGCAGTTGTGGTCAGGTATATATTGGAACCACGAAATGCAGCATCCACACCGGAATCAAAGAACATGAGAGACACTGTAGACTAAAACAACTGGAAAATTTGGCAGTAGCTGAACATGCCCTAAAACAAGCTAAAACAAAAAAGAAAGTCTAAAACTCAACAAAGCCTGGCTTCCAGCACTGAAAAATACAGCCTGCAAAAGGTCAACGAACTCTACCCAGCCACAAGGACCAGCTAACGATACCCATCAATCACAGTTACAGATCATCTCTCCCCTTATCACAACAATACACCCACAACAAAAAACATGCTGATCACCATTATCGCCCAATCACCTGAAAAGAACAAAAGCTGACCCCACAGCTATAAACACTCAACTATCCAACAAACTGCGCCAGAGCACAGACAGAGTTCTGACTGCTGTCCTCTGAAGATGCTGGCCACAGAGACTGGCGAAAGGTTAGGAGGAAAAACCTTCAGAACACGGCCAGACAGCCTGAAAAACCCACAACAACCAATCAAGAGATGTGTTTTGAAGGGAGGGAGTATTTAAGAAAGGCTCTGTCCAGATGCTGCCCACAATGTGTCTGGATCAGTAGGTCTGTAACTTAAGGTGGGCAGATATTAGCCCTGTTCTCAGGCTCAGGTTCAGTCCTCTCTGCAGTTGGGAGTGCCTTTTCTGTACACACCTGCTTCAGTAGGTGGAGTGATTGGACAGTTGTGCTTAAGGCCTGCTAAGAGTAGTTGCTTCTCATTAAGAAAGGCTTGCCAGAGAGAGGAGCCCTGCTACACAGCAGGAGCCTAGGCTTCCCGCTCTAATTGCTCCATTGGATTCCAGGCACGTTCTGTCATCTCTATTCTCTGCCTGAGTGGGAATTTGAGAATAAAAGGGGCTGGGGGCAGGATAAAGGGTGCGTTTGTGCAGTGCGAAGCGTAGCACATTCCCCAGTGTCATATGATGGTGGGGGAAGGGAGCAAGGGGTGTATCTGAAGCCTGCAGTGTGTCCTGTATATCTTGCCCACCCCAGAAAGGTGGCTTATGAAGGAAGGCAGGAGAAAAACAAGCAGGACAGAGGTCAGGGAAGGGCCAGCCGTTTGAGAAGGGCTGCAGCACTCCACTGGCAAAATGCCTCTAGTATGAAGTACAGCCAGCAGGGCGGCAAGCCCCTGACATGCGTAGCAGCAGAAGGCTGTCAATCCAAAAACAACATGAAAATTAAAATTAAAAACATAATGGCCTTTTAAAGACTAACTGCTATATTTTACTATGAATGTTCATGGATCAAGTCCAGTTCCTCAGACCTAAGAGTGAGCTCACATGGCAGATGTTTATACATTTATATATGGCCCCAAAATAAAGAGATAGTGGTTGGTGAGTAGAAATAAGTTGCAAATTGTGTGAGTCAATGTGGTATTTCACACCTGGTAATGACTTCTGAATGATATTCATATCTTTTCCATTGAAGCTTTGTACAAGGTCTATTTGTGGCTTTGAATCTGTTCTTGGTATTGATTTTGTTTACCATTTTAATGTGGTATTTGTTTGATTCTTTTTAATATTTGTATACTTATTCTTTACAAACATTGTCTTTTAATTATGCTAGCCACTCTGGGCCCTTTTTAAGGAGAAAGTTGGAAAATAAGTGAGTACCTGTAAGTAAGTAAGTGGGTTAGCAATATGGGAAGGAAATATAGCAGGAATTCAAAACGTCTTCTGATCATGCAAGTACTGAGAAGTGTCATCATTTTATAACTGCTGTCAAAGAGTTAAATATCGTTGAATGTGATTCTTTCTGGAAGATGCTACCTTTTTTGTTGCATTGTCCACATCAGTCTTTTGTTCCCTTTTTCTTTTCTTGTCTAACTCAAATCTCTGATCCTGGCACCTCTTCTTTCCTCAGTGTAAGTCCCTGCCACCCACATTGTCCACATTGTCAGATTGAGCCAAGTACCTTCAAATACCAGTGTGGGTATTTGGCAAGAGTTCTAGGATTGCATGAGGCCAAGTAGTCATTCTAAGCAAATGCTGCCTTTTTTTGCCAGCGCAAAACAAGATAACGTGCCCTGCACAGGGGCACCCAGGGACATCTATCTCCAAGTTGACCAGTGAGATTCCATTTGTTTCAGCATTAATCCAACCAGCTTGCTTTTTTCTCTCTCTCTGCAGGGTTTGTGTCCTCTGAACAGGTCAGTGTCTGCTCCTCTTCCCCATGTAAGAATGGAGGGACCTGCATGGACTTGGAAGATGGCTATAGGTGCCTCTGTCCTCAGAGCCCCTTAGCCTATGCAGGGGAAGACTGTGACTCTCTGTATGATGTATGCGCTGGACACCCTTGTCCATCAGGGTGGGTTTGCAGCAGGACACCTGGGTACTTGAATTACACCTGCCACTGTGAGCCAGGGTTGAAAGGTCTCTCTTGTAGCGTTGAAGGTGATGAGTGTAAAAGCAGTCCTTGCCTGCAGCCTGATTTTGAATGTATCAGGATTTCCAGTGGGTTTGGCTGCCAGTGCCAGAGTGGAGATGGCTGCGAAGCTGAGCTTTCTGTTTGCTCCAGCCGACCCTGCCGCAACAACGGGACCTGCATTGAGAACAATGGGGGATATACCTGTGAATGCCAGCCTGGCCACCTGGGGCTCCACTGCGAGGAGGATGTGGATGAATGTGCCTCAAGTCCATGTCAAAATGGTGCCATCTGCCTCGACAGAGTCAATGAGTACAACTGCTTCTGCGTGCCAGGCTTCCAAGGCCACCACTGTGAAATAGACATCAACGAATGTGCCTCCCGGCCTTGCCGACACAACAGCACCTGCCTCAACCTGATGGACCACTACGCTTGCGAGTGCCTGGCTGGCTACACAGGTACCGGAGGCATTTACTTCTTCTCAGGTTCCACAAAGGGGCCTCCCACATGTCACTAGTCTCTTCTCAAAGAACATGGCTGCAGAGCCAGAGGTTGGGAGTTTGATCCCGCACTCTGCATCTTTGACATGGGCTGGAGTCGATGATTCCCTGGGGTCCCATCCTTTCACCAACTATATGTAAACTTTTGCAGTTTGCCCTTTCGTTGCTCAACCTACCTCAAGATCGTGAGCATGCCAGGGCTCAGCAATATTTATTGGGAAGGTTAGGGGAGAGGGTGCCTTCTTGCCACCAGACCTCATTTATATATTGACTAATACAGCCATAAAATATAATAAGACTGAATAAAATAGTAAATGTGAGCTGGCTTTAATATGAAATAAGCAGGAGCTGACCTTGTCACTATTTTAATAAAAGTCATATAAATAAAACCCTTAAAATATGGTGGGAGTGGTGTGTTTCCTCATCAGAGGCGGCCGGTGATCTCAGGTTTCAGTGCTTTGGAAGATAATAATCTGAGCTCAAGCAGCAGCTCTGAGATGGAGAGACCCTAGGTCTTAACTGCATTGCCACCACAAGCAACTCCAGCAGAGCCTGAGGATTTATATCTGCTTGTGACAAACAGTCTCTTCTGGGCCGTTCGAGTTGGCAGGGACTCCCTCTGCACCTGCCAGCTTTTCATTGAAGCCGCCACCAGGAGGGCCTTTCCTCTACCCTCCTCCCCCACCCTCTGGTATCAGGATGGAATTTAGGCTGCAGCGCGCCCTCCCCCTCCAGCCTGGTACCAGCCAGCACGCAGACACCCTCTCTGGCCTTGCTCATCCTTGTGATGGAATGGCAGATTGCTTTACAGAAGTTACATTGCTGTGAAGGAATGTGAGGATGACTGGCTGAAGATTACCGGGGAGGGGTGTGTGTGAGTGGAGGGAGGGGTGCAACAGCAAGTGCCCCCTTTCTGGGTTCTTAGTCACCACTTCAAGGAGTTGTGTGGGAGGCCAGGCCTGTGAAGCAGTGGAATTTCTGCTCTGCTCCACAAGAACAAAAGGGGGAGATGAGGGGAATCTGGGAAAAATGGTGAGAGAGCGAGGGAGGAGGAGGAGGAGGGCCTGGAGTCTTCTCTTCACTCCTCTCCAGCAGATTCCACATTTCACTTTTTAATTCTCCCTCCCTTGACTTATGACAAGTGAGTAATGCTTTGAAAAGCTTATAATAGTGTCTAAATTTATAGATGGAGGGAAAAAAGCCACCCAGATATATGTAAAATTGACAGTTGCTAGAAACAACAACAAAAAAGTTATTTCTGGCTAGCTAGATCAGCTTGTGAAAAGGCTATTTAAAAAGATGGTATTAAAAATGTGAGCCTCTAAGAAAGCTTCCCAATGGGCTTCTCTCATCTACCTTTGGTATAAGATGCACACTTACCCCTGTTTAGGGTAGGGACTTGTTCTCTTGTGCCCTTAAGATACAGATAAGCAGATCCTGCTTGGACATCGCAGGAAACATTACAAGAAACTGATGGTAATGACACTTCAGCCGTGGAGCCAGTTAGCTGGAAATATGATGACTTTCCTTGTTTGAGGTTTTCCAACAGACCCTAGAAAACCCTCTCTTGGGATGCTTTAGCTCTAGATTCCTTGTATAGAGCAGGGACTAGACTGGATGTCTTATATGCTCCCTCCAACTGTATAAAGAAAAGCTGAGGAGAGAGAGGAGTCGTGCAAAGGCTGCTAGGGCATCTAAAAGAAGGTTTGCTCAGGTGGCTGTGAGCTTGGTGTTTTTTGGTGTTTTTTTTTTAAGCATAATATGACAATATTGTTGCAGTATATCCATGACCTTTGAAGTGTAGCAATGCGGTAATTGGATGCAATAAAGAAATAACATGAAGCAAATGTGTCCAAACAAGTTATTTGCTACAGTTTCAAGTCCACAGGCTTCAGGTATTTGTTCGTTTAAGATATACTGTAGCTTGTTCTAGAGAATGTATCTCAAGTCATTTTGGCATCTTGCTTTCTAGCTGAACTGAAGTGTGCTTTGTGATAACTAGCAGGCACTTTCTCCTTCTGCATCCCCTTTCATTCATTGTGAGGCGGATGCACCCCTAATATGATCTCATTTATGCCACTGAAATGTGTAGTTGTGGTCAGGGGCCCTCGGTCAGCTTGGACTGAGCATTCCTTGATAGAATAGGATGCAAGGAAGTCTGCTGGAGCTTGACAGCTCTTGATCCAGCAGATTAGGGGGCCTGCATTCCTTGAGGATTAGTGCAGCCGTGACTGCTGCACAACAGAACGCTGCCAGAAAATGGGATTAGTTGGGTTTGCAGGTGCCACTCCAGGGCTTCATGCTCTGGGGTGATGTTAAACCAGAGCAGTTCATGGGGCCACAGAGCAATTCTGGAAAAGACAGGGCATTGCTCTTTGCAGAACATCTTCCCTGAGGGAGTTCCTCCAGAGAAGCCACTCTTACAGGTTGCATGTGTTGTCTAGAAGTTGGGAGATAAGCTGCAGGGCACGCGATCTGAATGTGTTCGCTACATCAGGAGCGGACAGCTTGTGGCCCTTCAGAAGTGAAGCAACTCCCATCCTTGCCTGTGCTGGCTAGGACGGATGGGAGTGGTAGTCCAGTAACATGTAGTTGCCCATTATATAAAATTGTTACTGTATGGATATAGTTCACATGGTCTTAGTCACTTTGCTATTTAGAAGGGTTGTGCATAAGTCCCAATAAGAGCAGCTCTCTTGCTCTCTCTCTCTCACTTTCTCTCTCAAACCCAGGTGTGAACTGTGAAGTGGAAATTGACGAATGTGAATCAGATCCTTGCTGGCATGGAGGCACCTGCAATGACTATATTGGGTTCTTCACCTGTTCGTGTATGCCAGGATATGAGGGACCCGAGTGTGAAGTAGACGTTGATGAGTGCCAGAGCCAACCTTGTCTCAATGGAGGCACATGCCGTGACTTTGTCAACAGGTGAGAGGCTGGCTGCTACTGCACGTGTGCCACTACTTCCAGTGTATCATCTTGACTTTGTTTCATTTGTGCAGAGAATAAAAATGAGACCAACAACAAAGAATGATAGTGTGACATGCTCCTGCCCAGGCAGCCCATCATTTCATTCCATTCATTTCTCCTTCTTCTCTGCATATGGATCCTCACACCAGCCAGCTTTTCAATGTCCACACACTTTGCTTGGGTTGTTCCAGACAGTTTTGCCCATCTTATTTTTTTTTAAGTTGTATTTTCTCTCTACATTGAAAAGCATTGGGTTCTCCCAGATTTACTTTGTGCAGTTGTGGCATTTGGATAATGTTGGCATTCAGAGAAATAAGGCCACAAATTAGTTTGTACGATTACTTTCATTGCCTCCTTTCAACTCAGAGGTTACTAGGAAGAGACTGAAGGTGAGGAATATGTTTGAGTAAATCAGGTAGCCCAGTTATAAGCAAAGCATTTGCTCCAGAGTCCCAAGAATCCTTATGAAATGGAAATCTGAAGTTGCAGGATATATGGCAGTTTTCAGTATGAGCAGCAGCCAGTTGCCTAACATGAAGTCAGAAGCTTTGTGCTGTTTTTTTTTCCTTAGTTATCAATGTGACTGCATCAACACTGGCTTTGAAGGATCATATTGTGAGCTGGACATCTTGGAGTGTGCTTCTCAGCCTTGCCAGAATGGTGCTACCTGCTTAGAAGGGGTTGGACTCTACCACTGTGTTTGCTGGCCAGGTAAGCGAAGTCCTCACGTGCATCTTCTAGAATCCAGAAACTGTTTTCCCTTTCGTGAATTCAACATATCCTGGCCTTCTCTATGACAGCATAAGGAACCCCAGTATTGTTTTTTAAAAAAAGGCCAGATTTAGGCTTAATTTAATTTGTGAAAGTCTTTTAGGGATATGCTGCAGTTATAATGTTCATTATCCCAGTTCTGTGGGCGGTGCAGAGGAGACGTCCATAGAGAGTAGGTTCAGCCTGTTAGCACCCAGAAGCCCTGTGCCAGTCTGATTCAATGCAGCCACTTTTCAGTGTGCATATCAACTACAGATTTTAAGCAGTTTAATAATCTTGTCTGCCCCCAAAGGTCTTCAGGAACTAGGGATTAGAGAAAGAAGAATTCTCATAATATACATAAAACCAATTTTCCAGAATTCTTTTAGGGAAATCATGATGAATTAACTAGTTTATTTATCTCAGATTTATATTCAATATTAGATATGAATGTATGGGACAAACAGAATAGCACCTTAGCCTTCTTGGTCTGCCCTTGTTTCTAAACAGTGCATTAGCCAAACAGACGGAGAAACCATTTCAGCCTAGTAGGCTGTCCCTTGTTCAGGAAGAAGCTTCATTTCTGAATCAGCCCCCTTAGTTTCACTTAAAAGTTTCTGTGATATACCATGCACATGCCAGTCAACTTAGACATTCCCTTTACTCTCTGCCACCAGGGTATATGGGGGAGCACTGTGAAGAAGATGTGGATGAGTGTGCCACAGATCCATGTCTCAATGGTGGTGAGTGCTTTGAACGGTCTAATCAGAGCTACTATGGGAAATACAAGGACTTCCCTGAGCAGTTCAGCTATGAAGAAGCTGCTGGATTTATCTGCAGATGCCCTCCTGGTTTTGAGGGTGAGTAACACAGTGATTCCCAGTGTTGTAGTATATAGAGTGACGACTAGGACTCTGGAGAACAGGGTTTGAATCCCTGCTTAGCCATGGAAACTGACTTGTCGTGTGGAACGGGTAAAACAACTTCTTAAATATCTCACTTATGTGTGGAACGGGTAAAACAACTTAAATATCTCATTTACCTTGCAAGCCCTATTAGGGTCACTACAAGTTGGTTCCAAACTGATGGCACATAACGCACACTCATGCACACAACACAGTGCCACGTAGCCCACAATTTCTTGACTAAACTTCCCAGAGGTGACAGTTGACAAGAGGGAAATGTGAAGAGTTTGTTAGTTATGTGATCCAGTAATCTCTGTGTGCTGCAACTTATTACTGTATCAGGTCGGTATCTTTATTATGCAAGAATTAATGTGTGGGCATAATTTTAATTCACTTCTTTAATGTTTAACTTTTAAGGCTAAAGCTAATTATTCACAAAGGGTTAAGCCTTAATATAAACTTCCATAAGAAAATGTTTTCATCTTTATAGTCATAAAAATAAAATATCCATAAACAGACCAAACAAAAATATGCTTGAAGCCAGTCTAAGAATGTCCCAGAGATTCTAGTAGGATTTTCAATGTGAGCATTTTAACATTGCTGAGCCCAGTGACTCTCTATGGCTGAAGAGGAATTTGAACACTCAGATCTCATGAATCATAGTTTGACTCTATCAGCTGAACTACACTAGGTGCCTCATATATAACTACCAAAATGTATTAGTCATCGATTTTCAGATCAACAAGAAAAAAATACGTAAAATTTAACATGAGTTATGTTTGGTACCTTTGAAGGAGAGGTTTGCTCCATCAACATTAACGAATGCATGTCCCAACCATGCCAGAATGGAGGAAGCTGTATAGATCTGGTGAATAGTTATCTGTGTCACTGCCTGCCAGGCTATTCAGGTAAGAGTGAAAAGAATTAATGACGTCAATAGAGCTGGATAATAACTTCCTGGTCAAATAGTGTCCTGGAAAGGGTGCCTGCTTTTCCTCTTTTACTGTCCTTTCTTTAGTTTGCTGGCTGGATCTGAAAAATGAAAATCTGCACAAGGTTAATTCTAAATTCTGAATGTGGGCAATGTTTGAACTTTACTCTGAGAATTTGTTTTTGTGAGATCCTTTGTGCAACTGAAGCTTGAGTCATACGGGTGAACTTTACTCTTGGTAATGTATTACTCAGATATTCCTGTAATCCTGAGGTGCTTCCTTTGTTAAGGTCTCATGTTGTTGAAATGGCATTTTGTGCCCAATTCAGAAAGTGGCATTACTCCTCTGCTTTGGCTTAAAAGGACAACAAGGTTCACATCTGATCTTGTGCTTCTTCCCGTTTCTTTGGCACTAATTTTTTTTTCACTCTACCCCTTTTTTAATTTTATCTTGACTCAGTGCAAATAAGACCTTTTTATAAAGGTTTAAGGAACACTCTTCTCTGTCTTGTACTGATGAGTCACCAAAAGTGAAAATTGTTTGTTCTTTTAGCTTTGTACTTCCATAACTGTACTACTCAGTTTCGTGGAACGAAGCAACTTGTGTCGTGAAACAGTGTTATAAGGTTGCCATCTTGTGGTGGACAGAGCAATCACAAAGTCTGAGATGAGCTGGTTATTAGATCCCTTCCTGAAAATGACACATTCTGTTTCAGGCGAATTTGCAGTTCAAATACAACTCAGTCTAGGAACGTGCACAGTAGTAATAATAATAAAGAATACATGCAGGCTCTCCTAATATTAGACAGAATGAGGCAGCATGACATCTTAGACCAATATTGTCCTGCATTAGGAATGGGGTAGGTGGTGGGTGTGGGGACTCCTTTCTGCCCTGTAGCTACTTAACAAGCATGGAGTTTTGACGCTCTCTTCAGAAATTGCAAGTGTGAACTGCAACTAGCTACTACAGAGTAGAGATGTTCAGGGTTCCAGCCCACTAACAGTCAGTCATTTTCGCTTTTCTCCTTTTAGAGTTTTTCTTTTTCCTTTTAAAAACAGAATTTCGGCAAAGATCCTAACATCTCTCAGGTCTACTGATACCTTGTCCTTGTGCATGAGTAATACCATTCGGCTTAAGAAGTGATACTACTCAAAAAATGAGTCCATTTTTTACACATACAGTATGAGGTCCTGGGCTTATCTTTTAATAATACTGACACAATCCGAAACATCACCAGATAGAAAGAAGCCTGTTTGCAAAAGATTTTTAAACGTGAGCTTGTTTTGCACAAATAGAGGTCATGTTCTTATGTAGGTTTTAAAAAATATTTTGAGAAGTCAATCCACATAGCATTCCATTCACATCCATATGTGTAGAGAGCTGGAATACTTGTGTCTTATAGCCTGGTACCCATATGCTGGCAAATATGCTTCTCCCTGCTCAGGCAGATTATCTCTATGTAGGCGAGTGTGGCCAGCAGTGTGTAGGTCTGATATATTTATTTCTGCATTGTTTATTTGTACGCTTTTATCAAGGAAGGACTGAGAAAGCTAGGGTGAACAAAGTTGCGAAGCAAAACAGTGGAGTCAGAAACCAATCCAAACTTGTTAATCCGAATTTTGCATAACAGGAACTTAACTAGAGAGACAGATCTATGTACGTATACAAAGCAAGATCATTCTGTAATGTAATTGAGAAAGACATGAGGCTGCCAGGATCAGAGACTGGGGGCCACTGACTGATCAATTGCTGGAGGATGCCGCACAGTGGGTGCAGCTGTCCTTGTGGCTTCCCATGTGGCAGTGGCTTGGCAATTCTGGGAACAGAATACTGGACTAAACAGACCTTAGGTCTTATCCAGCAGGGCTCTTCTTATGGGGGGGGGGAAGGAGGAAGAGCTATTACAGTACTGTGAAGCTTCACACCGTTGACCAATGTGCTAATGAGATTAACCCAGATATTGCAGGTGTAAGAGCTAGAAATGTGGCTGTGGTGGAAAGGATCCGCCATCACTCTGCGATACAGATTCTGCAGTTACATTAAGCAGGCTTGTACTTGGGTGGCCGGTGTTAATGCCAAACAATAAATGTGGATGACAATGGGTTTTGCTATACCAGATGCTGAGTGACAGGAAAACACTTTACAAATCTTTCTTTCTTTCAACTTATAATTTTGCTCTAAGTCTATTCTGAGATACTGACTTTGCCTCTGGAGTGGGGTGGATGTCACCTCACGGAGTCCTCTGTCTTGTGTGGGACTGTAGGGAACCATGATCTTCTAGGTCCTGGTTGCAAACAACAGGTGGTGGGTAGGAGTCAAATTTTGCATCTCCCCTTGCTCAGTGAGAAGTAAGAGAGCTTGTGGAGGAGCAAAGCTGACGGGGAAATAATAGCAATTAATCTTTCCTGCTTTGTTGATTAATCCCAGTCTGGTCCTGCTGTGTAAACAGCTTATTACTTCACATTAGGATCACAGAGCAACTTCATGAAGCTGCCATAATATTCCTGTTATGCATTTCTCTAGCTTCTTTGGTCTGCCTTGAGCTGGAGGCTTGAAAAAGGCCCTCGTGGGAAAAGGCAATCCACCCCTGTGATCCAGGCAGGCTCTTCCCTCTATGATGCCCTATTCTCAACAGTTTAGGGAGAGCAGACATAAAGGCCAGAACCAACAGAAGTATGGCCTGATTGCCATGTAAACAGTCATGCCAAGCTTGCATGAGGAACGGACCTCCCCCATGTGGGGCAAGTGCAACAGGAGGAGCTCCCTCTTTGAACAAAGGGTCAGTTTAGAGGTCAGGAACAAGGGATGCACTAAAACCACATCTTAAGAAACTCAAATACAATCTACTTACTTTTTCCAATCGGAGGTTATCCAGTCCAGTAGTTCCTTAGGTCCAACCCGATTCACATGTTTCATCCCTCATAGCATGTGTCTTGGCCCTCTTGCTTGAGTCACTTGGAGCCAGTTGCTTTGCTTATGGCATCCTTTGGCCTGGATTGCTTGGGATGATCTGTGACAGGGGGCTGTGGCCAGATCAGTCCTCTTGGGTCAGAGGTTTGCGCTTGGATGACTCTGTGATCTCTTTTCAAAGCCCAGTTTTCAAGCTAAGATATATCTCTTGTCCTCCAACAGCCTTTCTGCCTGAGAGAATCAAAATGGGGATGTAGAAACTCTACCAGAATAAAAGGTGGCAGTGGTCCTTTTGATTTCACTTCAATAACTTAAGTTCAGCACCAGGTCCAGGTGTTCAGATGGCTCATGTCTCCCATCAGTGAATTCCAAAAGTTGATTTGCTGGTATTTGAACCCTTAAAGTTCAGTCTTCACAAATCACTGTGGCCAGATACTGGTAGGATTTTGTGCTGTTAAAAGCAAGGACCTGGACTTGAATAAGCATCTCAGGAAGGGGAAGAAACAACAACACAACATTCCCTTGCAAACCTTGACACTAAGCACTTGGCAGGGTAGTTTATCCGGCTGTCCTTCCTGACTTGCAGTGCCTGTTTTTGTATCAGACTGGGGCCATTGATAGCTTTGGTGCCTGTTGAAAGAATTTCCCCCCACCCCAAGTTCCCCAATTTGCCTTCAGTTTTTTTAGTTTAGTTCATGGAAGGCAGGGAAGTGGTATGGCTGTGTCCTTCTTTTGGTGTTTGTTTTTGCTTTGACAGAATGGGCATGTTTCGGGAGCCAGCCTATGTAGGCAAGTCAGTCACATCAACCCTTCGTGAAGGGTTCTGTGTGACAAAACAGTTCATGCAAACAACCCAGAATCAACCCATTTCCCAACAATCTGGCCTCAGGAAGACCATACGCTGCCCAGCGACTAAAGGGAGGCTTCTAAGCAATAAGATGAAATGAGGACAAGGCCTGCCAGGGAGAGGGGAGGGGGCACAGGACTGACAAACACTCCCCCACACCACCATCTCTCCCCACCATTGCCCCGCAGGGGAGGTGGTAGACAAACATTCTTGTCAGCAGTGATAGGAGCCAGCTGGGGAGGTTTAGAGCTGAGATGGATTAGATCTTGTTGCTGCTGCTGCTGCTGCTGCAGCGCCAGCCACCGGCTTTATATTGGCTGGCTTCATCTCCAATCCCCTTTTGCTTGCTTGGCACCCAGGAGTGCGCACATACACTGCGGCTCCCGGTCTAGCTGAGCTTTGGCCCCCCAGCTTTTCCTCTTGGGAGCAACACCCATGGTTGCAAGGGAACAGCCATGAACTCCATGCTGGTTGGCATCCTCATGAGTGGCATGTATCTCCTAGCAGGTAATGACAGAGGCTGCTGAGGCAGAAGTGGAAGGTCTTATCCTGTCCTAGTGTGAGGGTGGACTCTTCTGGTG